TTCCTGTTTTATTTCGGATTATCCTATTTTACTTACCCTGGCAACTTGCAAAAATAATCTCCTAGACTGTTAGAGAAATATGTGTTGAAAAATCAAACTTTGCTTTAGATAAGATGCCACAGTAAAATTAACCTGTGAATTTGAAATCAATGCCCCGTATTGACCATCATAAAAGAATATTTTGTAGTTTTATAAGAAAAATAAGGGTTATGAATTTACATAAAATACGACAGTACGATTAATTCCTGAATTTGAAATCACTACTTATATATCATGTATTATCTATAACTCATAAAAATATTCTGTAATTTTAATAAGGAGAGAAATGATTAAAGATTTATCCAGTGTGAGATATCATGTTGTTCGAAGAATTTTAAATGTTATCGGAGTAAAAGGTCATCGACAAATACATGTATTATTCGATAGATTCATTGGCATAACAAGAATGTATGTGATGGTTTGCAATGCAGGCACTCACAATGCACATGGTGAGCTATGCAGGAAAGGCTGACTTGCAAATCTTGGTGGCTAAAGACATCATACCTGACCCAGAATTTCTTGCCAAGTGCTTTGAAGATTCTTTGCTTGAAATGAAGGAGGCAGCCATTGCCACCACAAAAACCTAAAGAAGCTCGAGATTTGCACAGAAGCCAAAACAAAAAAGAGGAGGATATAGATTCTTTGACATTACAGAATACGTTTTGAGGATGAATTTGAAAATACAAATAAGATTTTCCAGAAAAGAAAACTATTTCTTTCGTATTAAAACTTCGTGTCTTTGTAATCGAATGTCCTTACTCGTATATCCTCGTTGAATTGTTGAAATTGTAAACTTTGTAAGAATTAATAGTAGATTCTAAACTGGTAAACCAAATTCTCAGTTTTACTAAATGAAGAATTATACATAAGTTACTATCAGTTCATAATATATATATTAAGTAAATTATGTTTTTCGTAAGCTTTAAATTTATATTTAAAAAATAAAATATAAAAATTTTCATTATGTCGATTAGTATAATTTACTTTAAATTAGATTCAAAAAAATTGAATTTTAATATTAAAAAAATTGGTAAAATAATAATAAAATAGAATTATTTTTTAGGACTCAAAGAAATTGCCCAAAAAAATGAAGAAAAATGTCAAGAAATTAAGAATAATATTTTTAAAATTTTAAAAAATTAAATAATTCAAACATGTTGCGCCCCGTAAATCTTATCCCCTCGGCTAACTAATCGTCTTAAAGCTAACAGTGAAGTTTACGCGGCGGAGTAACGACCGGGAAAAGGAAATGAAGGTGGGAATGATGGGAGTGGTGCACAGAACTCCTCCTGCTACCTCACTCCCTGTTCGTAACGTCAGGTCTAGGGCTAAATGCTCTTCGGTTCCTGGTAATGCATTATCTTTTTCAATTCAATTGTAATATTATACATACATGCATACATACATACATACATACATACATATATATAGCTTGGGTACTCACTCGGTTCGTTAGCACTTTTAGTTACTTAGTAATTCAATCTGGTTAAATTGTATGAAGTGGGTAGTATTGGTCTTTCATGTGTTTGAATTGGAAAAGATAATCCAGTAGATTATCTTTTCTGAAGTGGGCTAATGAGGTTTTTGAATTGAGTAGCAAAGTGGTTAAGTTAAATGATGTAGTGTGATTAAATCCAGTAGATTTCCACCCATAAGAAAATGAATGTTAGAAGTGATGATGCTGTGAATTTTGCTGTCTCTTCGGTTGGGTTAGTGTTCAATTTCTATTCAAGTCCTGAACTTAATCATTAAAGTTTTAGAATTGAATCATAATTTTCATATCTGAATCTGTTCGGTTGCGCTTTGATTTTCTTAGTGTGAATTGGAAGCTGCCAAATTCCAACTGAGAGAGATGATTACACTTATTTATGGTTGAGTTTGATTCAAAAAGTTAAATCTATATGATATGAATGCGATAAAGATTTGCATGAAAATGATGTTCTAATTGAAGGGTAGATACAATTCACTTTTGTAGCTTGTTCCTTGACTAATAGATATACAAATATGTCACTGTAAAAGTAATTATATACCGAATATGTAAATTATAGCTGAATTATACTATTAGATAATATGATCTTGAATAGAATAAAAATAAAATAAATTTAACTAAACATAGTGTGTCCATTAAGTAATTCAGTAATATAGGAATTGAACAAGAAGAACTGAATGGGATCTAGAGTTTATGGTTTTTCTTACCTTTATTTTGGTCCAAAAAATGTGATGCCTCAATGATTTTTAATGAGGATGGAGTTGAATAAAAAAATTCTACCTTAATAATATTTGAAGAATGGGTTCTTAAGATCGTTTTTCACAGATCATATCTCCTTCATCAAAGATGTGGCTGTTACTCAACCTCCTGATCATCTTCCCCATTTGTTGAGAATGCTTCAAACTAAAGGTAAGGTATTGATATTGTTACACCGTTTACTATAATGTATTTGATGCATTGTTTCAGTCTCTTTTCTTGTAATCTTGATATGCAATTATGAGGTTCTGGAAAGAGTTGTTCATGTTGCATGAAATAGAAAAATTAAGTCAGCAGATCAAAGATTAAAGTAAAAGACAAAAAAAAATTACATTGTTCGATCAGTGTGTCATACTCTACAATAGGGATGGATCTAAATTTATTATAGAAGACTTCTAAATATTACAATGTGATTATCTTTTTCTCTCATACCCTAGTTCCAATACACCAAAATCTCACAATGGAGTAATAATCTTGGTTCTAAAGGCGAAAAGTATGTATAGTATAACAGCTCATTTTCGCATTGGGTGGATGGTTCTTGTCTTGAATGTTTATAGTTAACCGGTTCCTAGTCTTTGTTATAACATGCACAGAGCACCTATTTTTTATAAGCAGACTGGCCTGGTTATTCCAATAATAATCTATTTTCTTTGCTGATAAGTGAAGTACCCCGAGAATAGATTACATATGGAACAATGCTATGGATTTTCAATCAATGACTATTTGCATTAAGAAGCAAATATATCACTGGTGAACTAATGATTGCATCAATATACCCTACGCATTCTCTGCCACTTTAATCCTTCGCGTCTGCAAATTGATCATGCATGAGATTTGAGCAAATTTTCTTCAGAAGAACTTCCTCCATGTATTTAGATGTTTATACATGATCTAAATCTGATCCTGCTTAACTCGAGGACTTATGTTTTAGTTTCTGTCTTGTCCTCTTATTTACAGGAGAAAACATCCTCTCGCCGGGATGTAAGCAAGGATTGATCCCTCTTGCTATTCCTCTTTCCAAGAATCCTGCAGGTCAGACGTGTAGATATTATAAGCTATTCATTTGCCTCAGGCAGTTTTTCAACAAAACTTTCTTCTTGAGTAGTCTAGCGATTGTTGGTTCATTTCTTAATAGGTTCAATAACTGCATTGCTGCGTTGGCCAACTGCACCACCAGGGTAAGAGATTTGAGTTTCTGATGTTCCATCCTAGTTTATTTCCATTTAATGTATATATTGGTATAAATTTATGGCTAAAAACATCTTTATATGGTCATTGCTATTCACACAGAATGGAGATGCCGGTAGTGGAAGTTCGCAAGCATGGCGTGTGGCTTTTGGCAAAAAATGTAATGCATTTAACCAAGAGCAAAATAATGTGTATTACTAAATGGCTTGTACTCTATAATAAATTAGCTACAAATTTGTGGGTTCTACTACTTTTTATGTTGGAATAACAGGATTGAAATCCAGGTAGATCAATATATTCAACGGATTTTGGTAGAAGAAGATGCAAATGGCTTAAATAAAAGTAAGGATGAACTATATCATGCTTCAGCAGAGGCTGGTGAGAAACTTTATAAAAGAGGTGATTTTGCAGAATCTCGGATTGGAAGCCTCGATAGTTATCTTTTAAAAGAGGTAGCAAGCGGAAGTTGTTTTAATCTAGTTAATAGAGATCGACAGTTGTGCAGTCGCAGATATTTTTATTTAGTATAGATGAAGAAAAAATATTTGTTAGTTATGCTGCTAACTGAAGTATTTTATTGTAAGTACCTCAGGTTGGACTGTTTCCAGATGTTTTAGAGCGTAAAATAACGCGGCATTTCGAGCAAGAGGATCATGTAAGCTTTTTTCAGTTTTTGGTCATTCTACAAGAACTGTGAATTGTCCCATCTCGAGCTACTCTCAACAACATTTTATATTCGTATATGGGTGGAAGGTTTCAGCTTTGGTTACGGGAGAGTTCTATACCAGGAAGGACCTCTTTCCAGGATTTGGACGTCCTTTTGTATATTATGCAGGGATTCTGCAGAGGTTTGTGCCTATCTTCTGGAGCATTTTGATTGTTCTCATAGTGTTGTGAGCTTCACAGAACTGCTCTCTGAGCAACATTTGAATTGTAAGGTAGGACAGCTTTCAGAAGCAAAAGATGCTGCAAGGGTGGCATTGAAATCACCATGGTGGAGTTTAGGCTGTGCGTACCAGGCATGGGACTTCATTTGACCATCTTATGTCCTTCCTGATTCTATCATCACTTACATATTCCATAAATATATATGTACATGATGCATATCAAGAAGTTGCTGGTATTGCACAATGGGAAGATGAGCAAATTGAGTACATCAAGGAGAAGGTGACAGAAGAGGGCAGACAATAGGATCTGAAAAAGGGAAAGGCACCTGCCCAGGTATACCTTCACGGCATTCTAACTTGTCTGATTTTCTGTTCTGTAAATTTTTTCCTGTTTGTTAGTTGTGCACTTGGTATAAGGGAAAATGAGCATGTAAGACTACAGTTCAACTATGAGAGACCATGTTCATTTCAATTTCTTTGTGTAGATCGCGTTGGATGAGGCTGCATTTTTATTGGATTTAGCTTCAATTGAAGGAAACTGGGTTGATTCTGTGGAGCGAATTGCTGAATGTTATAAAGAAGCTGGATTGAATGAAATTGCAAGATTCATTCTGTACAGAGATTGATAAACAATAAGGATATAAACCCACAATCAAAGGGTCTTCCTTTTTGACATTTTTAAACATTTTCACAAAGATTCATTACAGTACTTTACAACAAAATGCAAGACTTGGTAGATACATTTTGTGATTTTGTGATTATATACAAGTTGAGCTTCCTTTTTTATATGAGATGGATTAAGTAGCTCTCCTTGTCATTGAGCCCTTGCAAGTTGAATAGGAGCCTGAATTTCTTTCATGGGTGCAACTGTTAGTTGCAGACTAACAGGAGAATGTGCAGTGAAAATCTTTAGCCTTGGATCAATTGTGCATTTATGAGTTAAAATGTAAAGCCCCTGCTTGGACAATTAAGTTTTTGTATGGAACAGGCTCTGCATCAGATAAGTTCATAGCAACTCATCAAATTATCCTTCATGTCAAGAGCTGCGCTGTAACTCAGTTGATCATCCCCCCTCGTGTGAGCTTTTAAGATCGGGGGTTTTATCCAATTACATGCCCATTAGAGAAGGAAAAGGAAACTAACTACCCTTCACCTTAGCAGAATTGTAAATTTACTATCAAATTCTGATCTGGAAAAAGATTTGGTCTTATTAGTGATAACGGATGTCAAGTAAGAATCCCTTTTTGATTAACTATAGGAGTTATTCAGGTTTGAAATGCTTTAACATCCCACATATATACATTACCAATAGACACTATATACCATCTCTCTCTCTCTCTCTCTCTCTCTCTCTCTATCACTCATGAGGTAAAAAAAAGAAAAAAGAGAACAAACTCTCACCATCTCAAATCCTCAATGTAAAAATCAAACACCAAAGTAACAAGAAAACCAAATTAACTGACCAGTGAATTCCTCACTTACTGAACTACATCTTTCTTCTTTTTCTATTCTTCTTATTCTTCTTCTTCTTCTTCTTCTTCTTCTACTACTACTACTACTTCTCTCTGTCATTCATGAGGTTGAAAAGAAACAGTGCAAACTCTCACCATCCCGAATCCTCAATGTAAAAATCAAACACCAAAATAATAAGAAAACCAAATGAACTGACCAGTGAATTCCTCACTTACTCGACTACATCCTTTTACTGCCATGATAGCAAAAGAAATATTCTCATGAGGCCTTGTCTTAGCTTGTTAGGCTTTATTTACTCACACCTTAGCCACTGATCGAGGATCGAGGTTTCTTGCCGCTACCTTTCTTCCGTCCAACTAACAGCCTCCTGAGAAACCCAACTCCTTGCTTCTTACTTGGGCTTGGCACAACGGGCAGAGAAGCAACAACAGTAGAGCTCCTGGTTTCAGTCTTTGAAGCAGAAGATGCTTCTGTAGTGTATACCACCAAGGCATTACAAGCATTGGAAGGAAGAACTGCTTGAGCCTGTGAGTCCTCAATGCATGAAGCTCCTCTAGTGTTTGAGGATCTAGAAACATCTGCTTTAAAACCATCTTCGGCTAGCATTTGATCGCGCAATGAAGTGCGTTTGTGCAACTTCTTGTTATAATTACTTGCAGCGGTTGCAGAACATGTCGCAGAGAAAACTTTATCTAAGAGTACTGCGTCTCGTGGTGTGGCCAGTGCCTTTAACTGTTTCCCCAGGTTCATTATAGTTTCCTGGCATTCTGCCAACTTCACAGAAGCTGCTGTTATCTCCCAACCCTGCATGTTTGACCAAGAGCATCAACAGTTGCTAAAATTTTCCATGAGTTGATACAAAATTATAATTTTCCCAAAAAGTAGTATATAAAAATTGAACGATTTGTCAATAGCTTACATTTTCAGATTGCATTCCATCTTGATTTATGCTATATTTTGCCGGTTCCTTCTTCGCAACACTGTTTTCAGCACATATTGCAGAAGTCAATACTTGTTTCTGAGAAGAAAAATTAAGAGAAAACCCATAAATAATTTTTTTACCTTTCTAGCTGGAGTTGAAGCTCAAGACATGTTGCTTCTAGTTCTTCACAACAATGATTTTTGTACTCCAACTCAACTTCCAATGATGAGAACCTCTGGAATACCTCGTTGAGTTTAACTTTGGCAACTGAAAGCTGGGTGTCAAGCTCTTCATTGATGAACTTTTGATTTTCAATTTGATCCTCAATTA